GTCTCCATATGGCCTCAGAGATTTCTCTGCATGGAGCAGCTGGGAATATTGGGGCCTGCAGATAGAGTCTGATCTACAGCCCATTGAAGTCATTGCTTTTCGAATGAATACGATTGGAAGGTCCTGAAATGTGTGATTAATCCATGTCTTATTATTGCTCACGGCTGAGCCCCGGTGTGGGCTGGGCCATGATGGGACACTGTAGCACCAGCGTATGGGCAAGAAAGTCTGTTTTCATGGTATCCGTGGTCCCTTCTGATTCCAGAAATCTCATGCGTGAGCCTGACATCATGAGATTTCCAGCCCGAGTTTGCTGACACGAGGTTTTGGATCAGCCAGAGAACAGGGTGTTGATCTGAACCAAACCCAAACTAGGAACCTTTCTGGGGTTCACCCAACACTTTTAATGAAGTGGGATTGGAGAACGGAGCCCCGAATGATTTAGGGCTTCACTACATGACAGGCTGCCTCTCTCCTTGTGTGATCCAATGGCTGTTGTGATCGGTGGAGGCGCCTGAGGTGAAGTCTCCTTGGTTTAAACTGGAAAGGGGCTAGTGGCAGAGTTATTTCTGCGAAGGCAACCCTCTCCTTGCCTCAGTCCATCAGATTGTGGCCCTGTTAACCGCCTTTGCATGCTACAAGGCTCATATTTTCTCCCAGGCATTTGATGAGGCAGGTTGAAGTCTGTGCAAACCATGCTGACTGGGGGCGGGTGTGGGAGAGAAACAGTGACATCCTTTATTGTGGTTACACTGAAAACATGTACGGCTTTGCCTACCCAGGGAAATTGACTGGAATAGCTATTGCAGAATATGCTCAATAAGACCAAGGAGTGAACTCCTTTCTCGCCACTAGCAATGGGACTTCTAGGGGGTAGGTGACACCCACTGGTGAGACAGTGTATGGGTAACTTGCCCAGCATGCTGTACTGTTCCATGGATTAACAGAGGGCTTCAGTTCCTGGGGGGAGCGGGGGAATCTGTCTGGAACGTACCGCCAACACTCATTTTTCTACAGGTCCCTGTCAGTTTTGACACTTGTCCCTTAGGAAGGACATTTTGCTCCAGTGCTGCTCCACAGAACAATGACTTTCCCCATATGTTAATGTGATATTGACCAAACTCCGCACGAGCTGACAGAGGAGCCCAGAGAGTATGTGTGACAAACATTAGCCTCAGTGATGACCTAGCCCTCCCCCGGTTTATAAAACACTGGTTGTCGAGCAGGGAGCAAGCTATCTCACAAGTAATGGTTTGGTGGAGTGAGTTTGATGAACAGAGAGGGGCAGATAATGTGCCCTTTCAGAGCTCGCTCACCAGAAATGCATCTCTCATTGGAGAATCTCAAAGCATTTTACAAACTGTAATGGATTCAGTTCCTAGGCCCGAAGATAGGGTTAGTACTATTTACCCTATTTTACTCATAGCTCCAAAGAGACTAAGGCCAGAAGGGACCACTATGTTCATCTAGGCTGACCTACAGGACAAATGCAGAGTCCTGCACTTAGGATGGAAGAATCCCATTCACTGTTACAGACTAGGGACCAAATGGCTAGGAAGCAGTTCTGCAGAAAAGGACCTAGGGGTTACAGTGGACGAGAAGCTGGATATGAGTCAACAGTGTGCCCTTGTTGCCAAAAAGGCTAATGGCATTTTGGGCTGTATAAGTAGGGGCATTGCCAGCAGATCAAGGGACGTGATCGTTCCCCTCTATTCAACATTGGTGAGGCCTCATCTGGAGTACTGTGTCCAGTTTTGGGCCCCACACTACAAGAAGAATGTGGAAAAATTGAAGAGAGTCCAGCGGAGGGCAACAAAAATGATTAGGGGGCTGGAGCACATGACTTATGAGGAAAGGCTGAGGGAACTGGGATTGTTTAGTCTGCAGAAGAGAAGAATGAGGGGGGATTTGATAGCTGCTTTCAACTAACTGAAAGGGGGTTCCAAAGAGGATGGATCTAGACTGTTCTCAGTGGTACCGGATGACAGAACAAGGAGTAATGGTCTCAAGTTGCAGTGGGGGAGGTTTAGGTTGGATATTAGGAAAATCTTTTTCACTAGGAGGGTGATGAAGCACTGGAAGGGTTACCTAGGGAGGTGGTGGAATCTCCTTCCTTAGAGGTTTTTAAGGTCAGGCTTGACAAAGCCCTGGCTGGGATGATTTAGTTGGGAATTGGTCCTGCTTTGAGCAGGGGGTTAGACTAGATGACCTCCTGAGGTCCCTTCCAACCCTGATATTCTATGATTCTATGACCTCCCGTATAACAGAGGTCACAGAACTTCCCCGAAATAATTCCTGTTTGAACTACAGCAGGTCTTTTAGAAAAACATACGATCTTGATTTAAACATCGCTAGTGATGGAGAATCCACCATCACCCTCGGTCCTTTGTTCCAATGATGAATTGCCCTCAATATTAAAAATGTGCGCCTTATTTCCAGTCTGAATTTATCAATGGGAATACTGAGGCACAGAGATACAAAGTGACTTGCCCCAGGGTCACACAGCGGCTCAGTGCCAGAGTTGGGAATGGAACTTGTCACAGGAGATGGCAATTTTCTGCAATATCTTTAGGAGATCTCATTGAATGAAGTTGAAATGGTGTTGGAGTTCATTGTATTATAAATGTGAAGTTTATGTCATATTGTGGATTGTAACTTCTCTAGGGGGGAGATGTGACCACTCTAAACCCTGAGCAATGTTATGAGTTTTAAAGGAAGCTCTGAAACAATATTCCAGACAAGGATAAACTTTTGGGGCAACCAAAGGTAAGAGGGTTTCCCATGAAATATTTAGGGGGTAGTTTATGCACATGTACCTTCTCTGGCTATGCAAGAACTCAGCCTTTTGAAGCTTTGCCCGGAGATGGGGACCTTTGTCCAATGTTCAGCTATTACATAAGGACAAGCTCAAAGGCCCTAACTGGAAAAAAAGGAAAGAATGAACCATTTGTGGGCATGCTTGTTCTGTGCTAACAGCTGTTATGAACTTGTAACCACAGACAAACCCCTTGCTGGGGTTTGAAGAACTGATCACTGGCCACAGCCTTACTGGAGTAGGGGGTGATCTCTGGTAAGCTTCTTAGCATGTGTAGGTTACTTTATTGTTTTAATATGTTTTCCCTGTAATGCCTTCACCTTAAAGAATAAATGTGCTTGCTTAAAAAGGGCTGTGCGGTAACAGCTTAGACCTGTGGGCAATTGCGCTGTTTATAGCCCCCGAAGAGAAAGCACAGTCAGGCCTGCTTAGGCAGCCTGACTTGCTGGGGAACTCACAGCATAGGAAAGGAACTGTGCAGCCTGGAAAACCCTGGTCAGAAAGGAGAGAGATGTGGGTCTTTACCCAAGAGAGATGACAGCTGAGGAGCCTGGGGCGGGTGCCTTTGCTGGATCACGGAGGGGGAATACAGGTGCAGTTGCCATGAACTGTTACAGAACTCAGAAATCCTGGTTCCAGTCCCCTGTCCTAACCACAAACACTTCCTAATAGGGTGATCACCTCTCCTGTGTTCCAAAGCATGCATTCAGTGCCTAATGTCCTGCATCCCTTATCAATAAACACACTTCTATATCAGCAAAGGATCATACATTAGAGTACTGTACTGTTTGATTTGGTACCACAAATTAAACATCTGGTAGGAAAGGGCTTGTCCCTTATAAATAAGCTTTGTTCCATATTTTGCATACTTTCATTTTCTTGAACTCTAATTTATCCTTCCCTAGGGACTGCTCCTTGATATAGTGGAAAGGGTTGTGTGTTCCAGTGACCCTGAGAGCTAAGCCAGTGGGAGTTTTAACTCCTTGTAGGGCCACCCAAGTCAGACAAGTCATAGGGTATTGACCAGATGAAAAGTAGTACATTGGTCTTCCAGGTTGGGGAACTGAACAACAGGGCTGGCTTTATGAACTGCGGGGCCCGATTCGAGTACCCGGCGGCGGTCCGGGACTTCGGCGGCGGGGGGTCCGCTCCGGGTCTTCGGCGGCATTTTGGCAGCGGGGGGGTCCGCTCCGGGTCTTCCGTGGCACTGAAGGACCCCCCGCCGACCGCCGCCGGGTGAGTAAAAAAATTAAAAAGGCGCCTAAGGCGCGGGGCCCTCTTAGGCGTGGGGCCCGATTCTGGGGAATCGGGGGAATCGGCCTAAAGCCAGCCCTGCTGAACAATAGACCAGTCTAGCCTCATAAAAAAAATTAAGCTATAGAAACACAATAAAGTAGCCATTCTGTAAAACAGCAGGATAGACAGGGATGGCAGAACATTGTGCCTTAAGCTAGTGGTTCTCAACCTTTCCAGACTACTGTACCCCTTTCGGGAGTCTGATTTGTCTTGCGTACCCCAAGTTTCATCACCCTTAAAAACTACTTGCTTACAAATTCAGACATAAAAATACAAAAGTGTTACAGCACACTATTACTGAAAAATTGCTTAACTTCTCATTTTAGCTGTATGAAATTTTAGTTTGTACTGACTTCGGAAGTGCTTTTTATGTGGCCTGTTGTAAAACTAGGTAAGTATCTAGATGAGTTGATGTACTCCCTGGGAGACCTCTGCATAGCCCCAGGGGTACATGCCCTGAAAATATGGGAACTGCCTAACCCTGCCCTGTGCCCCAACACCACCATCCCCGCCCTGTGCCCCCAACACCTCCCTCTGCCCTGTGCCCCCAACACCTCCCTCTGTCCTGTGTCCCAACATCCCCCTGCCTTGAACTTCAACACCTCCCCCTGCCCTGTGCCCCAACATCCCCCTCCCCTGCACCCCAACACATCCCCCTGCCTTGCGCCCCAACATCCTCCTGCCTTGAACTCCAACACCTCCTACCTCCCCAGTAGGCGGGCCTGGTTGCCATGGTTTCCCAGGCGGATGTGGTGGTGGGGGGGCGCTACGTTCCGGTTCCGGTTCCGGTGTCTGGCCTGCCCGCGGGGCACTCGGGCGGGGTGAGTGTCTCGCAGGGCCTGGGTCCCCCGTGGGGGCGGCGACCAGGGCGCGGTTCGGGCGCTGCGGCCGGAGGCCGCTCGGGATCCCCGGGCTCGCGTGGAAGCTGGGCCCGGCGCCGAGGCGGTCGGGGTCGTGGCCGGGCCCCTCCTGGGCGGGCTGGGATCGGCCGGCCCCAGCGAACGGGTGGGGCGAAGGGGGACCCAAGCCCTGGAGGGAATAGGGGGACGGCAGCCCCCCAGCCCGAGGAGGGGTGAGGGATTCCCCCCCCCCCCGCCATGGGTTCCCCTCCCAGCTACGAGGGGGTAGGGGCATGGCACCCCCAGCCTGGGGAGGGGCGGCAGAGGAGGGGTGGGGGCATGTCACCCCCAGCCTGGGGAGGGGTGCGGGCATGGCACCCCCCCAGCCGAGGAAGAGCGGGTAGTTGCTGAGATGCACCTTGTGCAATTAATTAACAGTACTTAATACATGTGGGATTTTGGCAAACGTTTTCACAAACGTTTTCTTGCCGTTGGAGAGCAAAAAGCTCCAACTAGCCCAAATCCCCGATGGACTTTACAATTGTTATTTTTTTAAAGCCTGTCTTCAAAGGGATAGTCATGAAAAATGTAATCAGTGCAGCACGGGATAAGCAAGGCCTGACCAGAGGAAATCTGGGCACATCTAGTAGCATTTTCAAGAATTCTGCTGGTGTGCGACAGTTTGCTGTTAATAGGGTCAAAAGAGATCTGGTTAAAATTTACTAAAGAAAAGGACCTTAGGATAGAAACCAATCAATTGCTCTGCACCATACACATCAATTGGAAAAGGCACAAGAAATGTCTGTTTAGAAATCTGTTACTTATGCTTAAGTTTTGGGGCTTCTTTCCCCCCCAGATCTCAGACTTCACTTCAGTGGCCTCCCTGAAGAGCAGGTTATCTGTGTGGCAGCCAAAAACACGGCACAGAGCTCTCTAGCTCGGTGATTTAAGCTTCTTCAGGAACAGCTACCCCCAAAATGTCACATCACCTGAAATTTATTGCCAGAACGGTGATGGTCCAGAATGGGAATGTGGATGCTGCCTACAGGACACTAAACAGGTAAATGTTAACAGCTGTCAGAGTCCACTCCAGAAGTGGCTGCATTTTACTGATGAGCAAAGTGAGTCCTCTCTATTTGTTTGTGGCAAATACTGTTAGGTTTGTCTCTGGTTGGTTACTTCCATTCAGATAAATTGTGATTTGTATTTCTTTGCATACTGTTAGAGCAAAGAAACACTTGAGCAAATCACATTCTCAACCCCTGCTAGGGGAAGGGAGATTTCTAACAGGTAGTAATAGTTTTAATCGTATGTGGTCTAGTGGTTAGAGCAGTGGCCGAGGGGGTCAGGAGTCTGAATTCTATTCTTACTTCTGTCAATTGAATGATTGTGACCAAAGTGGGTGGTGACACTTGAGAACACAGAAAAATCAGGGGGGAGGCCTTTAACAAGTTCTGGTAAGTGTGCATTTTCTGTTCCCTGACTTTAAACTGCAGTGAAGAGAATCCTAAGTGGCTTTACAGGGCTATGATCCTGTTAGGCTGTTCTATCTAGTCTAAAACAAGCTGGCTGGTCCTGGGTATGGCAAAAGGCCCGGGTCCCAAGCAAAGGGAAGAACTCATTAATCCTAATTAATAATAACTGAGCATCAGTGAAATGGAGTTCAGCAAACCTGGGTTCATCATGTATGTGAAATGCACAAGGCAACAACAGTCTCTCAGCTTCACTTAACGTTTTCATTTTGTCACATGAAAATGAGTGTCCCAACACTGTGTTAATTAAAATCACTACATTTAAATCTGCATTACTTTACATTTCAAGGGGAAAAGGTAACATTTAGCATCAATTAAAGCCAGTAAGCCTGCCAAAGGATGAATATTTCACATTGATCATTTGAGGGGGGACGGACACAAAAAACATGTGCATGTATTTAAAAGGTGTAGATGCCAATGAGTGGAAGGACTAGTTTAGAGCAGCACAAAAGGGTTATAACTAGAAAATTCGGGTGACAATTTAAGGAAAAGGAAAACATGGGCTGAATACTAGGAAGTATTTGCTAATATCAAGATTTTGGACTGTGACATTCTATAGATTTGAGTGAAGCTCATTCGTTTCAATGAAAAGGGACAATCCACTAAAAACTGGACTGGAGGGAGTAATCCTGCATTGGCATTGGGGTGTACTAGATCGGTGTTTTTCAACGACCAGTCCCTGAGATCTCCCTGACACAGTTTAGGAAGGCAGTAAGCCAGTCCCAGGTATCAAAAAGGTTGAGAAACATTGTACTAGATGACCCACTAAGCCTTTTCCATATTGTATGAAAGAAGGATGATTTTGTGGACTAGAAACATGGCTTCATTTTTCCAATCTGCTGCTGATATATCATCTGGATAAACCTGTCCTGTCTGGCCTTGGTAAAATCACTTCTCTCTGCACCTCAGCTTCCCGCCTGGAAAATGAGGATAATGCCCACCTTGCAGATGTGTTGGGAAGCTTTGAGATCCTAAGATGGAAAGCATCAGAGAAGGATAAAATATGATTGTTGTTCATGCCTATGAAGGATGGCACAGAGGTGGGAGGCTTAGTGTAGAACAAAGAGAAATGAAGTGTGGAAATTCAGCTGAACTTTTAATTCTTGAGGAAATTGCTGTCATGCAAATTAAAATGATGTAACTTGCATGATGGCTTACAGCTTGGTCCTGCATTCCTTGTGCACCCCAAACTGCCACTGACTGAATTCAAGACAAGACCTTGAGCTTGCAGTATCTGTGGTAGAAACGAAGGTCTCCACTGTGTAGGGATAGTAAACTTCTTGCTGTGTTATTAACCCCCTTTACTTGTTCCTCAGAAACAACAGACTAAAATGCTTAAGTGTTTTATCATATAGTATTTGATCGCTGGGCAGTGTCTGTATATTGAACGGTGACACTTGCTTTCTTATTCCGAATGATCCTGTGAAGGGACATTTGTCTGACCATGAGGTCTAGCATACATGTGGTAGGATGCCTTTGTTTGGAACACTGGAAGGCGTTAAGGATAATGCTCATCAGATCTGGATGAGGTCTTAGTTGAGTGGGGAACTCTGTCTTGGGGAAAGAAATATTAATTTATGCCAGGCCTTTTCATTTCAAGATAAATTGTCAAGCCTCATGGCTGGACCATGTTTAGAATTTAATGTCTTTTTCATTGCCTTTCCCTTCTTGTTCTCTGGCCATCATTTGATTCTTCCAGGTTAATGTGAGTTCCTTGGGCAGTGCTCTACAGTGAGGGTATGTAGATCTCCATCCATCAAAGAGGAGGCATAGCCTGGTGTATGTGATTTACAGTGTAAGCTGCTAGGGAATTTTCCTGTGTTTGTGCATTGCCAAGTATATTGTCAGAGCTCAGTAAATAATGGGCCTGAACATAGGAACCAGGGTTCTGTGATCGATTTCTGGCTTTGACAAGAACTCTCTCACTGCTTGTGAGTCAAGATCTGTGTTTCTCCATCTGCAAAATGTAAATGCTGTACTTCCCTTCTGTAGATTAACCAATGTCTGCAAATGTAACATGCTGTATAATAATAATACTTTGTCCTTCTCTAGCACCTTGCATCTGAGGAACTAACATTAACTAAGCCCTACAGTTCTTTTCCTTGCCCCATGAGATGGGTGGTTTATCCCCATTTTACAGATGGGGAAACAGAATGTGGGGGTGTGTGAAGTGACTTGCTCGAGGTGTGTCAGAGAGTCAGTGGTGGAGCTGAGAATAGTATGAAGATTTGACGCCCAGTGATCTGCACTAACCACTACACCACTCTGCCTCTGTGGATTCCCCTGAGTCCATGTTTGTGTATTTGAGGGTCCCTCATTGCAGGCATATGAATATATAGACTGCACTAGAATAATGGGACCAGGGCTCTTGCTAGCATGGGCATTGTACCTTCTACTACGGCTGAGTGAGTGAGCCACAAATATAGCGAAGCTTGTCTACACTGCCAATTGAACGACACAACTTTTGTGATTCACAGGTGCTTAAAAAAGCCCTCCATCCCGAAAGACAAAACTTTTGTCGTGGCAAGTGGCAGTGTAAACGGCTCGTTGTTGGCAGGAGTGCGCTCCTGTCCACAACGCGTCCCCTGCTCGTAGGGAGTGGAAGTATTTTGTCCGCAAAAGTGCTGACAAACAGCGTTTACACTGCCCGACTTTTAGCAACATGGCCAAGCTGTGTAGTGTAGACAAATCACTAATGTCCCATAAGCCCAGCACATATACTTTAATATTGCCTTGCTTTGGGATTTTACTTGCTTTACTAGCATGTGTGTTTGTATCTTCATTCATTCTTCGGTTGCATCCGAAGAAGTGGGTTGTAGCCCACGAAAGCTTATGCTCTAATAAATTTGTTAGTCTCTAAGGTGCCACAAGTACTCCTGTTCTTTTTATCTTCATTCAGATATCTACTAATCTGTGGTAACTGGTAGACAATGTTTTGTGCTGTGTGCCAACGTTATACTTACTCTTCTTCAGTCTTGTGATCATACTGACCTCTGCTGGCCTCAGTGCTAAAAATCCAGAAGGGCAATATGTTTTCTTTGTTAGCTCTCAATTTCATTGTGACATTGATTCAGACACTGGCAACAGGCTTCAGCTTCTGTTAAGTACTTTGATCTCCTGGGCTAGTGTTTTGAGGCCAGGAGTTATGACTAACATTGTGATTTCTTGCACATTATGTGTGTGTTTGCGTGGCGTTAGGGTCCTCTGTTTGTCGTGTTCCCCTCCCGTCCGATAATGAGACTGTCTTTGGAAAAGGTTGGACTTTGGGCCTGGGGTTTTGTTTAGCATAAAACCTCTTTTCTGCTGTGTAAGGCAAATACTTCATCTACCTGGGGGTGGTTTTGAGATCAGCTCTGCATCGTCCTAAAGAAGTTTAGAACAGACAGCTGCTTTTATTTCAAAGGCAGAGTATAACCTTTATTCTCCCTTGCAATGCCCTGTTCTGCAGTATGCTATGTATCCGTTGGTCAGCCCCCTTCACCCCAGAGCTGGCTGCCTTTCAGCGATGCTATACACATGTAGTTTGTGATGTGCTTTTATATCCTGTGGATTTGAAAGGTGCTGTAAAAATGTAAAAGGTTATTAATTAGAGGATTATGTTCCTAAATATTAAAGCCTTTTATTTAAGTCTCCCCCATAGTTCTGATTTTCTATCTAGCTACCACTCCCAGGTGATACGAAACTGAGAACTTCGCTGACGTGCGGAGCTGAATTACACTAGAGTCCAGGAAGTGGTGTTTAAGAATATGGTATGGCTCTGCAAAGTCAGGTACTTCTGTGTCCAAAGGACCCCTTTATGTAACAAGTTTTGCAAAGCTATGCCCTGTACTCTGGATCCATGCTGCACTGGGCTTCTTTGATTGCTGTGCTATTGCAGCATGGTGCATGCCAGGTCATAACTGGGTGGGAGCTGGCTGCCCATGGCTAGAGGGGACCTAATTACCAGCTGCAGTTGGAACCATTCAGCACCGAGTAGCTCATTTAAAAAAAACGTATTTGCAGGACAGCTTCTGGCCCTCAGATCCCTGACTGTATCCCTTTTTAATAGCAGTGTGTCTTGGTATTTCTTCTCTCGTTTCTGTGCCCAGCAGATTTGCGGCTCATAGTTGTTGGTTTATATATAGATTGGACTGCAATTACACCATAAGTGTTTGTTCAGAACCGTACAAAGGGCAACACGTTTTGAAAATGCCTGTGCAGCTGGGGAGCTGAACATGTGTATCTCTCAGCCCTTGCCCGTGGGACTAACTAAGCGCACGATGTTACGTAAGAAGTGCTTGATGCAGAAAAACTTGCTGCCTTCCAATTGGCTGCCCTTTTGTGACAAGGAGGGGAACTAGAGACAACTGAGCTGTATTTTATTGGATGCTGGACACTTGTGGGTGGGTTTTTCAGTCCATTGAAGACTATTTATCTTACACACGTTATCTGCTGACATACAGGCTGCGTGCATTGCCATGTGAATGCTTATTCTCTAAAAAGGCTTCTATTCACATTTGAACTTTGTTAAAGGGAAACTGTCAAATTA